CAACCAATCTAGTTTCCACAGTTAATTCACAAAATAAACCTTAACCTGAGCCAATACTTGACAATTGCCAATTACTAAGAATTCATCATAAATCTTGTACCACAATCGCTAACCATCAAGTTAAGGATAATCAAAACATAATAAAATTACAACAAATCCGAATATGAGACTCACGAGCATGTTTGACACCAATGTATAAATACTCGTCACCTCACCTATATGTCGTACTCGACACTAACACATAGCAAATAAGACACAACACCTATTCCCTCAAGCTAAGGTTAGGCCAAACACTTACCTCAACTTTCACGGCCAAACTCAAGCCTCAAGCACCGCTTTCCCTTTAGATTTTGCCTCCAATTTACTTGTATCTAACCCAAATTAATTTAACAACATTAATAAACATAAGGAATTCAACACCAATGCTAAATTATAGGTTTTCTATCATTTTTCCCAAAAAGTCAAAAATCGACCCCGGGCCCGCTTGGTCAAAACTCGAGGTTCGGACCAAAACCCGATCAACCATTTACCCACGAGCCCGAATATGTAATTAGTTTCAAAATACGACCCCAAAACGAGGTCTAAATTCCAATTATTTAAAAAGCCCTAACTATACCCAAATTTCCAATTTCTACCATGAAAATTCTTAATTCTTGATGTAAAAGTGATGAAAAACGTTGGGTGATTGAAAGAGTAGAATTTAGAATTGATTACCAACACTTTGGGGATGATTCTGTGTGAAGAAAATCTCCTCTAGGTATTGTTAGTTCGTAAATATGAAGAAAATGGGTTCTGCCCGTTTTTAAATCTGTTTTAAAGAGACTGGGTAGGCCTTCATCGCGTTCGCGATGGGCCTTCCGCGTTCGCGATGGGTCAGGCCCAAATGGCCTTCGCGTTCGCATTAGATGGCCTGCATTCGCGGAGATTTTGCTCCACAGGCTTCGTGTTGGCGGTCAAACGGCCGCGTTCGCATAGAATAAATTGAGCTCCCCTCCTGCAGGCCCAATAACTCTATGCGTCGCGTGGGCCAGAACGCGTTCGCGAAGAGTAACCCACCAGAGCTTCGCGTTTGCGAAGAATAAAATGACCCTTGTAGAAATTTGCCTTACGCGTTCGCGAATGAAGCCACGTGAACGTGAAGAACAAATTCACTGAGCACCTGCAATAGTTATGACAGCATAAATTCTAAGTCTCAAACATCCCGAACCCCATCTGAAACTTACCCGAGCCCTCGGGGATCCAAACCAAACATGCATACTAGCCTAACAATATCATACGGACTTACTCGTGCGATCAAATCGCCAAAATAACACCTAGAACTTCAAGTTTAGCATCAAAACAAAGAAAAATCTCTAGAACTCTTAAGTTTCAAATTTCACAACAGAGGGTCCGATTCACATCATATGAATTCCGTTTCTTACCAAATTTTACAGGCTCAAATTAAATACCATATAAGACCTGTATCGGGCTCTGGAACCAAAATACGGGCCCGATACCATCAAATTCAAACATCTTTAAATTTTCAGAAACTCTTATAATTTCAGTTAAACAATTTTCTTCAAAAATTCATTTCTCGGGCTTGGGAACTCGGAATTAAATTTCGGGCATGCGCCCAAGTCCCATATTTTTCTACGGACTCTCCAGGACCGGGTCCGGGTCCGTTTACCCAAATTATTGACCGAAGTCAACTTAAATTCAATTTTAAAGGCAAAATTAGCATTTTAACAAATTTTCACATAAAAGCTTTTCGGAAATACGCCCAGTCTGCGCACGCAAATCGAGGTGAGCCAAAAGGAGGTTTTTAAGGCCTTGGAACGCAGAATGAACTTTTAAAACAAGTGATAACCTTTTGGGTCATCACACGTACTCGGAGAGAAAGATTTTTGTACGAACCTTTTGGAATCCAAGCCTTTCAGTATCAGCGGCGCTCTCTGGATCTGGTCGACCCTGGAATTGTAGATTTCCACCTTTTTGTCCTTTGCTTCGATTATTTTCTCCCCTGATTCTATCCGTTTTTTCAGCTCCTCGAGTATTTCTATGATCTCGGGGTTAGTACCCGACTCATTTTCATTCGACCTCTTTGCGACCAGTTCTTCCCTACGGATGATCTCCTAAAACGGATTGGGTTCAATTCTGCTCGGTGCGCGACTTTGGTTCTGTAACTGTGTTATCGCCGTCTGTTGTGCCTGCAACACTTCGAAGATCATCCGTAGATTTATCTGTCTCCTCTATTGTTTTAAGTATTCTGCAATGTCGATCGGGCTCCACTACAGATGCTATTCTCGGGATCCGTAGGCAGGTTTGTGTCGATAGCCACATGTGAGTTAGCGGCCAACGGGTCCGCGATTGGAATTCCAATGGGATCAACGTGTAGTACCTCGTTATTGGGCGCTATGTTGTTATTTTCACCGTGGTGACCGGATTCATTGTCAACATGTAGGGGTGCCAATTATGAGTTTAACATTTTGAGCCTTAACCTGAAATTAGAATACTTCAAAGAACAAGTGTAAAATAGTAAGTGTTATGGAAATTTGTATCAAATAACCACTTCTATCCTTAGCCCCACGGTGGACGCCAAACTATTTACCCTCAAAATTGGATAACAATTGAATTTGTAAGTGATTTTAAGGATACATGGATTAAATTGATACAATGTGATAAATTGAAGATACGATTAAAATAAGCAATGATAAAATAGATTCAAACCGCACAACTTGAACAGTTATAACCTTGGCAAGTTAGTCACACTTGAACTGGATGCAATTCAAATGATATCAAAATACAGAAGAACAGTAGCTGCGGAAAGAAAATAATTTTATACTGCTTAGGGATGCGTGTTACACTATATTTTATAAGTAATCGGACCACCTTTTTATAGTAGGGAAGTCTTATATTAGGTACAACTCTATAAAATTTAAAAATCTCCTGATTTGCTGATTTGCTGGTTCTTTATTGATACGTGCCGAGATTCCCGCCGTAATATCTGACCGATCACAGTTATTTCGGCCTTCCATTTTTTCTGTCTTCTGTTGGTCAATGTTTCCCCGAGCTCGTTCAGGGTCAGGGTCGATTCCGAGATCATGGACTCAATGTTCTTGAAAAAGACATTCTGACCTAGTGTTTTGGTTCGATAGGACTCGGGGTCGATCTTCAATCCCTCACGTTTCGAGCCCGGTCTGCCATGTAGTGGTCGAGTCCGGTTTCGACCGTCTACGAGGTACTTCGATAAAACATCTCCAATTCCTATCACTCGATTTCATGTTTTGAGTGTCAAATACTGCATATATTCAGGTAATAAACTCAAAGAGGGATGTAGAATCATTACGTTAATTCATTAGGTGATGAATCCCCAGTCCAAGTAGCTAAAGTTCGTGGCTGAAAATGAAGCATGTCCTTTCATATTTAAGCCTGGACACCTAGCAATCACGATTGCAGTCACGTCTCTACTATTGTGGAACCGGATCTTGCCTAATTTTGACGTTCGCGACAACACCTTCGCTAGTGCTGATAACCCTAGGATGGGCCATTTTTCACGTTCACGAGCTCCTAATTGCTACCATGGTCAACAATTGGTGGAAGTGACTGATACAATAAATGTGATTTCAATTTTGAATATATAAAGTATTGGTGAATTCTTTTTATTTTTATTTTTATTTTTTTGGAAAAAAAGTAGTGTAATCATTCTGTATAATGGAGATAGGAGGAAAGGAATGGACAAGATTCTAATACCTTTGGACGCAATTGTCCCGGTAACATGCATTTAGAAGCGTCACCCGAGAAATGCGGCTACTTGATCACATATTGTTTAAAAATTCATTGAAAATATTATATCACATATTCTTTTAAAATGACTTTTCCACCACTTAGAATTTTAAGGATAACGATTTGTTTTCTTTTCCTTTTTCTACTTTACTTTGAAACCCTCATTTTTTGAAACCAAGATCTTAACTCCACTAATCTTCTAATTACTGAATATTCTGTAACGATGAATTAAAGAAAAGTGATGCGTAGTCTCAAATACATTTTTGGGTAAAAAATTTACTACTTTTCTCTAAGTATATTGTGAGACTACAACTTTGTTTAACATTTTCATTACTTTTCACAACTCGAGTAATCTCATACTGAAAAGAAATGCTCCGTCTGTATCTTTTCTATTATTATTATTATTATTATTATTATTATTATTATTATTATTATTATTATTATTATTATTATTATTATTATTATTATTATTATTATTATTATTATTATTATTATTATTATTATTATTATTATTATTATTATTATTAATATTATTATTATTATTTTACTCTTTTGGCCTTTACAAGTTATTTTAAATTTTTATGGTTAAAATCTCCCATTTTTCATCATTAAGAAAGTTAAATACATGCCAACTGATGCCAATACTTTGTAGTATTTAATTATAGATTGTATAATATATAACATTTGAGATGGAAATAATTGTAAATAATTAAAAAATTATCTGGATTTTTTTTTTAATGTATGATATTACTCATAAACCTTTTGTAAATACAATGTTCGAAATTCAAAATGTATATTTTGTTAATTCAGGTGAGAGAAGAGCTAATAAGAAGATTTTCGGTAATGTACTGTCACTTAATTTTTCCAACTAATAATAAAATTATATAAATTTTTATCACATTAAAATAATTGAATTATGTATGATAATAGCTCAAAAAATACCAATGTCCATAAGGTCAAATTAACAAAAATTCTAGAGTTAGGAAGAGAGAGAGAACAAAATATATGTTAAAGTTAAAATAGCATAAACAGTTGCATTGATTTGATCCGCGTGATGATGTATATGGAGGCACACATTGAAAATGAACCAGCTCAAAGCCCTAAATAGTTTAATCAAATTATTAATACTACTACTACTACTTGTTTAATTAATTAAAATATTCCCTTTTCTATTATCCCCACTTGTTGCGTATGGAAATGAGCACTTTTATGTGAAAAGTCAGCGACCTCCCCTTTCTTCCTCTCTCTTCAGAATAACTATCAAGCCATTTTCTCTCTCTCTTTCTTTGCTTTCTTGAGAAGAAGAAGAGGAGAAAACAAAACAAACTATTTGTTTCAATATTCTCTGATCTTTTGCTTCTTTGCAAAATTACCCACAAGAGGACAACAAGTCTTTCTTAGCCTAAATATATACAAGTGCATGTTCTTTACGTCTGTTTGGTGCAAAACATACCAAACTATTCTTTGTGGACTATCAAAAAATAGGTCAAATCAAGAATCTGCTGCTGCTTGTTTCTGCTTAAAAATTTCTTTCTCAAAGTCATACATAGAGAGAAGCTAAAATTAAGGCAATTATAGCTAGGTATGTGCAGCAAGTTCCAGCTGCAAAAAACAACCATGGAGAATAATTATCAAGGTGATTTAGCTGATATATTCCTAGGTAGCAGTGGACCAAATATAAGTGGTGCAAATAATATCACTACCACCTCTGGTGAGTCATCATCGACTACTGCTGCTGCTGTTACTGACAGATGGCTAGGTCAGTTCCCTAGCCATCCGATAAATTATTCGGCCGCTGGAATTGAAGAACCGTCCGTTCAAGATTTTGGAGATCCGTTTTGTAACTTGAGAGATCCACTCTTCCATGATATTGATATGCTGCCTGCCGGTTCCAGCTTATTCACCTCGAACAATGACAATAATAACAATAACAATAATAATAATAATATTAGTCTTTTTGGACCAAAAATTCTTGAGGAGACTGAAATGAAAAGTCGACAAACCGGCAATATCTTTTCAAGGATGCTTCAGATCTCTCCTACTACCAAGTTGGCCGCGGCGATGTCACCATGTAATTCTCCGATGACGGGTGCCGTAGCCTTGCAACCACCCTCCACTGTTATTGCTGGTGGTGGTGCATTAGTTGCTAATGATGCAATTATCTCTCCTAATTCTTCTAAAACTTGCTTAATGGAAAACTCTGGCTTGCAGATCTCATCTCCGCGAAATACGGGTATCAAACGAAGGTGAGTAAATTCTTGAAAATTAATATATATACTATACTTGAATTGAAAACTCTTACTATATTGTGTAATTTATTTGATACGAACATGATTGATGCCTAGTTTTAAGAGATTTTTATGACTTCAACTTTTTCAATGAACAACTAGAAGAAAGATAGAAAAATCATGTAAACAGTATTTACTACTCCTACTATGTAGCTTTTAATGAACCATATCAAACATAGGGTCCTGAGTGAACAATTGAAAAAAAAGAAAGGAAAACCAGAATAAATTGATATGTAAATATGCATGAAATCCGGGTGATATTTTCCATCAAAATTAATAAAAGCATCTAGAACTACTTCTTCAATCACAGACTTAGCTTTCAACTTGTTTATTTTTCTTTACTTTTTACTCCAAAAAAATACCATGAAAGGGGCTTTTCAATTTGTGTCAATCACTTTCAGCTAGAAATATTTTCATGATTACCTCTTGTCAACAAGAAGTAGCACAGTTTTGACACGACTGAAAGTAAAGTCGATCGATTAGAAATCAATCTACTAAATACCATAGATTTCATTTGATGCTTCCAAAATCTCACACTTTCCCAGCATGTTTAGGTCTCACCTATACATTTATATTTTAATAGTAGTAATATATATACATATAGTTGACTCACCATGAACCCTTTCGAATTTTCAGTCAACGGTATTGAAAATGCAAAAAAATACAAATAATTCCTGCATTAGTTTGTGAAAGATTAATCCATGAAGTTGTTATCTTAGATTTCAGTCACCTGCCCTTTGTAAAGTCATTAATTTACTATGACGATAATAGTGTACAAGTTGATGCAAAAGGTTAGCCAAAGCTCCCTAGTCGTGCGCAGGGCGAAGGTATATATAGGTAAAATATTATATTTTAATGGTATATAACATATATGGAACATTCTTTATTGATATTTTTTTTTACTCAAGTTTAAACACCCTAGAGGAAATTTCTGGCTTCACCACTGATCGTGCGTTGACAGTTGAAGAATTTTTTTGGTAGGATAGTAATATTCTGCTTAATGAATCTACTTGGCAAGAGTCAAATTTTTTGAGCTAGTGAGTTTCGAATACTAGATGACTAGCAAAAAAAAAAGTTGATAAAAAAGGTTTCTTGATGTATTAGGGTTTATTATGCAAAAGTGAAGTATATATATTTGAATTTGCAGAAAGAGTCAGGCGAAAAAGGTGGTATGTATACCAGCACCAGCACCAGCAAACAGCAGGCAAGGTGGAGAAATAGTTCCATCAGATCTATGGGCTTGGAGAAAGTACGGTCAGAAGCCAATCAAAGGCTCCCCTTACCCAAGGTCAGTAATTACTCATACTAAGATGAAACAACATAATTTCTGTACATCTGCACTGACAATGTTTTTTACTATAAGAAGATTTTGTGTTTCCTTTTGTGACAAATTGGGAATTTTCTTTAGAAATCACCAATTCTTTTTTATTGTCCGTAAATTAAAGACTTCTCTGAGCAAGCCTATCAATATAAGAGCAAGTTTTTGCTAAGTCCAATGGATGCTTTTAAGCTTCTTTGAAAATTAAGAGATAATACTACAATTATTATTGTTTTAAGTGATGGATTTAATTGTACAAATAAATTCCTATGATGTTCTTCTGATTAATAGAAACCTAAAGTTGTGACCATGATGCAACTCATCATTCATCTTTCATCCTCGAAAGATTTACGTGAGTAGAGTTCATTCACTTGAAAAAAAAATTAATTAATGAACCAATACACTACTACTGCTATCTTCGGTCTATATTTACTTCCTTCGTGTCAACTTATGTGAACTTATTTGATTAGGCACGAAATTTATGAAAAAAGAAAATACTTTTGAACTTGTGGTGTAAAATGAGACACATATATTTTGTGTGGCTATAAATTATTGCATAAAGGTAAATTGTTTGCATATATGGAAAGAGGTCATTCTTTTTTACAGGGACTAAAAAGGATATAGGTTCAAATAAATTGAAACAAATGGAGTAATATTTTTTTATATACCCCTTAGGAAAGATAGTTAATCATTAGATTAGTAGTACTTCGTCCATTTCAATTTATGTGAACCCATTTGACTGAGCACAGAATTTAAGAAAAGAAAAAAGACTTTTGAACTTGTGGTGTAAAATGAGGCAAATATATTTTGTGTGGCTATAAATCATTGCATAAAGGTAAATTGTTTCCAAATAAGGAAAGGGGTCATTCTTTTTTACACGGACCAAAAAGGAAATAGGTTCACATAAATTGAAACGGAGAGAGTATATGTTTTGTCTCAAATATTTTGGAACAAATATATACTAATAGAGGGTCTCCATAAATTAATATTTAGAGTTTTGGTCATCTGAAATGAATGCAGGGGCTACTATAGATGCAGTAGTTCCAAGGGATGTTCAGCAAGGAAACAAGTGGAAAGGAGCAGGACAGACCCAAACATGTTAGTCATCACCTACACATCAGAGCACAATCATCCTTGGCCAACCCAGAGAAATTCCCTCGCTGGTTCAACCAGGTCTCAGCCTAATAATTCCAAACACACTACTACTTCAACCTCTAAGAACAACACTAATTCAAAAGATGATCAACAAAACAATATTAGTACTGTTGCACAAGTGAATATTTCCAAAGTGAAGGAAGAGGTGGCCGAATTACAAGACCTAAGGGATGATCATCATCATCAGCAACTTGCTGTGGAAATGCGTGATGTCGAATTCTCAAAAGACAGTTATCAGCCAATATTGCCAGATTCATCATCGAACCACTCTCACGAGGATTTCTTCGCCGATTTGGTAGAACTCGAAGCTGACCCTCTAAACCTTTTGTTCGCCAAAACTCTCTCGGGAGATATTAATGAAGCGGGACAGAAGAAGACCATTGATGCGTTCAACTTGTACGATTGGAGTGGAAACAACAACAATAAGAGTCAAGCCGACCCATAACAAGATTCGATCAAACACAGGATAAAAAAGAAGCAAACTAAATCTCACTTGGTACATATTCTTGACTAGTGCTATACTTTCTTGGAATGTCATAAGCCAAGTAAAGATGGATTAATGTCTCTTGGCTATAATTTTCCTCCTCTTTTTTTTTCTTTTCTTTTTCTGTTGTGCATTAATTTGGTGTAGCTAGCCTAGTATTGCTGCATACTGTACAAGTATCACTTTTTCATAATCTTGTCTTCTGACTTAGCAGAACAGTGAAGAGATTAGGAAAGGAAAAAGTAGGAAAAGGAGTGCTGGTTGATTGGGAGCAGGGCCTACGAGAGAGAGTCCTCCATTCCTTTTGGGAATATTAGTGGATGGGACAGAAAGCTGAGGAACAGAAGGTTTCAACAGTTAAAACAAGTACATCGTCTATCAGATCAGACATGACCAGATAGAGGCGATTGACGTGCGATGGAACTCCCATCTTTTTAGTGGGATAAATAATTAAAGCCTCCTCCCCTCATTTACCATACGCTCCAACAAAATTTTTAAAAGCTTCTCTATTTCCTTTCTTTCTTACTGGTTTAGCAAAAATGTTTATTTAGAAAGAAAGGATCATGCTACTAATTAAATATTAATACTGAAGTTTAAAAGGAATTCTTCCTCTTTCGTGACATGACAAAAGAGTTTAAGGTGGTCATGTCTGAGGTGTTTTGAGAAGATACGTTGACAAGATGCAAGCTTCGGGTTCCTCAGCTTTCTGTTTGTTAATTCCATTATTATTATTACTATTCTAGTTGTGTTTGTTTTGGATATTGTATGTAGTTTACGAAGCTTTTGAGATAAATTAGAAGTTTTTTGTTCATATTTTTTTTCCGTTAAATGTATTTATAATTTCCGTCAAGCTTCTATTATACTCCGTTCATTGCAATTTATGTGAACTCATTTGATCGGGCAAAAAGTTTAAGAAAAAAGAAAAGACTTTTGAATTTGTGGTGTAAAATGAGGCATACATATATGTTTTGTGTATCTATAAATTATTGCATAAGGTAAATTATTTCCAAATACGGAAAGATGTTATTCTTTTTGGCATAGACTAAAAAGGAAATAAGTTTACATAAATTGAAATGGAGGGTCGAAAGAAAGAAAGAAAATTCTTTTTTATCATTTATGTGTAATGACCCGACCAACTGTTTTGAGTTTTAGGATCCTATTCCCTGTTTGATGCTTCCTCTAGGTTCATTTTGAAAGTATAAGAGGGGTGAATTGTTTATTTTTATATTTTAATCACTATAAGTTGACTAATTTTCTAATTAGTCGACTGGATGTAATAACGTGATAAAAGTAAGAGCAGAATCTAAGATGCAGAAATAAAGTGCAGGAATTAAAGACACCGAAATTTTTATACTGGTTCGGATTCAATGTGAATCCTAGTCCAGTCCTCTTAGGTTGTAAGGAAGTTCTCTTTCAGTGAATGAGTTTCTCGAGTACAAAGTGAATGGTGTGGTTTACACCAATGGTTCGGTTCCTATATCACTCGTTTCTTTTTTATACAATGCCTTACCAGTATTTTTCTCTCTTTCTTCTCTAACTTGCTACACAACAGATCTAGTAAAACTACAATATTTGTTTGCAGTAGAACAAAGAGAGAGTATTTGGTTCGATCAAAAGTATATTTGACTGAGGCTTAAGAATGTGTATAGATACTTTGTGGGAGGCCGTTTGCTAAAGAGATTTGACAACCCGAGAGATTTGATCCTTGGAAAGAAATTAATTCTTTCCAAGAATAAGGTTATTTGTCGTTGCTCTTCCTTGATGAGAGGGCATTGATAGCTTTCCTTCTACAGATCTTGATAACATGGGTTTACTTGATTGTTGGTCCTTTCGAAAATAGCAGCTTGATTGATCATTTTGCAAGATCTTCGATGCTTTTTTTCTGCTTCAATCAATCTCTGATTGATTCCCTTTCCGAATCTCTAGTTGGTTGATTGATTCCTTCTTTTTGATTTCTTCAATCTTGAATGCTTTCCTTGAGTTCCTATACCAAAAGCAGTTATATTATTTTGCATCATTAAAACTAAAACCTAATAATCTCCCTCTTTTTGGTGATGACAAAATAATATATGTAAACTTGTAGACGTCAGTTGACTTCCCTATATTTTACTCCCCCTCAATGAGTGCATTTGGCTCCCCCTAAGTAGGTGCTTCTTTTAGTCGATTGCTTTCTGTAAGATATGTGACTCCCCCTCAAGAGGTGCCGTTGGGACTTCTTTTAGTTAGCTTCTCCTGTAGTATTTATAGCCGACTTCCCCTGCAATGGATGTACCTGCACTATCTGCACGAATATAGATATCCTTTCTCCCCCTTTTTGGCATCAGCATAGAGGAGATAAGATAGCAACACACTATATACTAAAACGCGATAAAGTATAAACATGATATGCTAGCAGAGTTATGGCAAAACAAAACATATTATCTAAACAGCATAAAAAAAAAGCAAAAATCATCCAATCGACTGGTTATCCAGTTCAAAACAGCACAACAAAAATATTTTCTTAAACTTCCACATTAATGACGCAAGAAATAAGTAAGAGTGTTGCATATCGCCTCCTTCAGTTGATCAAAGCTGGCATTGGCTGATATAGTCACTCCATCAAGCCTGTCGTGTACCTCCTTGAATGCTTTAACTGCGTTTTCCCTAACTCTGAGAACTGCAACTCTTATCTTTGAAACATCAGACCCTGTCTCTTTTGAGGTGGCATAAATATCTCCAACAATGGACTAGGTAGCAATAAAGAGATCTTTGATGGCGGACAGCTGATTGTCAATGGCAATGTGACGACCCGGCCAATCGTCTCATGAATTATCACTCTGTTTTCCTTATTTCAGCTTCTTTACGCTTCGTTATCCGTGTTTTATGTGATCGGGTTGATTAGTTTGAGTTCAGGGAGGATTCTGGTAAGAAATGAGACACTTAGTCTCTTTTAAGAAGGATTAAGTTGGAAAAGTCAACCGGATGTTGACTTATGTGTTAGATGGCTCGGATGTGAGTTCCGATGGTTCGGTTAGCTTCGGGAGGTGATTTGTGACTTAGAAGCGCGATCGGAATGGGTTTTAGAGTTGTAGAGAAGATTTAGGCTTGAATTGACGAAATTGATATTTTGGCAAATTCCGGTTGATAGGCGAGATTTTGATATAGGGGTCGGAATGGAATTCTGAGAGTTGTAGTAGCTTCGTGGTGTCATTTGGGATGTGTGTGCAAAATTACAGGTCATTCTGATAGACTTTTTGATCGAAAGCATAATTTAAGAGTTCTTGGAGTTCTTAGGCTTGAATCCTATGTCAAATTGGTGATTTGGTGTTGTTGTGAGCATTCCGAAGTTTTGAGCAAGTTTGAACGATGTCGTGGGATGTGTAGGTACGATTGGTTTGAAGTTTCGGGGGTTCCGGGATGTTTTAGTGCGAAAATCATAGCCGTAGAAGGTTCAGAAGGGTTGCAGGCCCCGGAACTCACCCATGCGGTCCGCACAAAAATGAGTGCGCCCGCGGTGAGTGTTGTGCGGACCGCACAAAAGTGGGCGCGGCCGCGGTGAAGAACCTTCCCGCTAGTCCAACTTCGGAAGATCATATCTTTTGATCTACAAAAAAATTTGAGGTGATTCAAAAACAAAAGTTGTAGTCCTTAGTGTCTAGTTTCCATAAAGATAAAGATATTGCAATTTGGATATTTGTAGAAAAAGTTATGGCCAAAATACTAAAGCTTGTCATTGTAGAGGAAGGCCTGTGCGGTCGCGGTTGTTTTTGCGCAGATCGCACTGGCTTGTGCGGAACGCGGTCGATTTGGTGTGGCCCGCAGAGGATGAAATCTGACGGGTACTCTATAAATACGAGGTTTTGGGTTTTATTTAATATTTTGACCTAGAGAGCTCGGATTTTGGTGATTTTTTGAAGGTTTTTAAAGAAATTCATCGGGGTAAGTGATTTTAACTCAGATTTGGCTAGAATACATGAATCTATCACTTAATTCATCATTTAATTCGTGATCTAGGATGGAATTTGGGAAGAAAAATTGTGAAACCTTGCAAAAATGTAAAATGATGATTTGAAGGACCAAATGGTATCAAAATTGGATAATTTTGGTATGGTTAGACTCGTGAGGGTATGAGGATTCTGAAAATGTAAATTTTACCTGATTTCGAGACGTGGGCTCGGGGCTCAGGTTTTGCTAATTTCGGGATTTTTTATATTTTTTGAATGTTTTCGCCTGGGCTTTATTCCCTTGGCATATTGAGACGTATTCGTTCTGATTTTGGATAGATTCGACGTGCGTGGAGGCCAATTCGAGGGGCAAAGGCTTCGCGAGCTAGAGAATTAGCCGGTTCGAGGTGAGTAATGATTGTAAATGATGTCCTGAGAGTTTGAAACCTCGGATTTGCACATCAAAGTGCTATATTGAGGTGAGACACGCGCTGGATGATGAGCGTGGGGTCTTTTACTACTGGGCATTGTGACTTGGTCCGTCCCAAATAATGATTTTACCGCGTATTTGACTGAAATTCATTTGTTATCATCATGATTTGGGCTAATTGCCATATTTAGGCTTCGTGCCAACTATTTGAACCCNATAGTTTGAGTGGTTGCAATAGGGGGATATGACTGTGTCACAGTATGAGTCGAGGTTTTCTGAGTTGGCTCGTCATGCCATTTGGATGGTTCCGACAGATCGTGAGAGGATCAGGAGATTTGTTGATGGCCTTAACTATTATCTCTGTATTCTTATGACCCGAGAGAGGGTATTGGGTGCTACGTTCGAGGAGGTAGTGGATATCGCTCGCGAGATTGAGACGGTTTGCCATCAGGATCGAGAGGAGAGGGAAGACAAGAGGCCTCGAGAATCTGGCAGTTATAGTGGTACTTCTTCGAGGGGCCAGTTCTAGCATGGTAGAGGTCGTTCTTTCAGGCCTGCTTAGTCAGCCCATCCAGTGTATCGCGGGGCATCTTCGGGTCATGGTCATCATGGATCTCAGCGGGGCCAGTCATCACTCAGTGCCCTCAACCTTAGAGTTTATCTCGTGCCACGTCGGCTCAGGGTTCTTCTATGCCTAGTGCATCAGTTGGTCACTCCGGTGCGAAAGGTTCCCTTTAGTCCCTTTCTCAAGCACTTGGGAGTTGTTTTGAGTGTGGAGAGTTTTGGCATGTGTGGAGGCAGTGTCCTCATCATGTTGCTAGTTCGTCCCAGCAGAGGGGTCAGCCCTCGACTTCTGCTCTAGTTACTTTACCACCCGCCTAGCCAGCTAGGGGTGGAGGTCAGGCAGCCAGGGGTCGCCCCAGAGGGGGAGGTCGATCAGGGGGCGGTCATGCCCATTTCTATGCACTCCCAAGCAAACCCAACACCATTGCTTCAGATGCTGTCATTACAGGTATTGTTTTAGTCTGCCACAGAGATGTCTCTGTATTATTTGATCCCGGTTCCACCTTTTATTATGTGTCATCGTACTTTGCTCATTATTTGGGTATGCCCCGTGAGTTTCTTGCTTTACCTGTTCATGTATCTACCCCGGTGGGCGATACTGTGGTTGTAGACCATGTGTACCGGTCATGTGTGGTGACTATTGGGGGTCTGGAGACTCGAGTAGATCTATTGCTATTGAGCATGGTGGATTTTGATATCATTTTGGGCATGGATTGGCTATCTCTATGTCGTGCTATTCTAGATTGTCATGCTAAGACAGTCACTTTGGCTATGCCGAGTGTACCGCGGATCGAGTGGCGTGGTGTGACTGATTATGTTCCTAGTAGAGTGATATCCTTCTTGAAGACCCAACGTATGGTTGGGAAGGGTTGTCTTTCATATCTAGCGTTTGTG